TCATCACCCGAACATCACAACCATAAATGAGGATAGGTCTGATGAGTTTATCAAAAAGGGAAATTGAAACTTTTATACTTATGTTTTGAATTGAGCCAAGCTTTGCTTTCATTGAAAACAGAGCTTTTTGAACCTTACGTTTAAGGTTTTTTAGGCTATCCTTAAACCTACCATTGGCACTAATGACTAGTCCCAGATAGTTATAAGATTTAACTGTATCAAGTTCGATACCTTCAAGAAAAAATGTATCATTATTCAAACGTCTGTTTGATTTATTGAAAATTAAAATTTTGGTTTTGTCAGTGTTTGACAGAGAGCTTCCACGTTTTAGCATACAATGCCAAACTATCAAGACATGTCTGTAATCCCTGTTTAGTTTTAGAAAGTATCACAATATCATCGGCATATAGTAGACAGCTGACAAACGAGTTTTCTAAATAAGGAGGATCACAGGTACTAGGATTGAAAATAGTGGGCAGGTCATTTATAAAAAGATTGAAGAGAGTTGGACTAAGATTTCATCCCTGTTTAACACCAATATTGGACTGAAATTGTTTTGTTAAGCCTTCTTTACATTTAACTTTATATTTTACTTTACTGTACATGTTTTTGATAGTTTTTTTGACAGTATAACTCTTCGTGCTTCAGTACGCAAGGCTCGTACTCCAACAGTTTGGTAGAAAACAGACCAATGATGTCAAATTCGATGTACAGGGCAGAAGAATCTGTAAATAAGCCACGAAGAAAATAAATAGCAATGCTTCCAATTACATTATTATCAATGTACCTCTGATATTATATATATGTAATATAATTATTGAATGTAATCGACTAATAGCTAATAATTTTCCAAAATGGGAATATTTTTTCACTTGTGACAAACTGTAAGCGACACGGACAACTTACTTCAATAATTTGCATGTATAGCTAGGAGATGCCATGCAATTAAAGCAGTGCCAATTTAGTGGAAAAAAAACATTACTGATGAATTGACACATTATTTAGTATTGCATAGTAATTGAGATTAATTACATTGCACCATACAGCATTACGATGAATATGTTCACGCAGGAAAACACACCAACTTACACTATAGCCACTCACCACATGGTGAATACAGAATGGTCTTGAATGTTTCATCACTTATATATTATACATGGTTATATATTGGTTTACGTTTTACGAACAAACTGATTGTGAATGTATCGGAAAATATTATGATAATGTTTTCATCAGCTCATGCATGTATCAGGGGGAAATTCTTCTCCACGGGGTTCTTCACACGTGTCAGGGGGGAATCTCGTCTCGTCTCTATATCGCGTCCCCTCGAGGTGCGGGATCGGGAAGTCACTTAAGCTTTACAGTCAAATAAGACACACACAACAAAATACGTTTCAACTCTCGTCTTAGTCGATCAGTCGAGCACTCTATAAGACACAGCGCCATGGGGAAAAAATCCCCAAGACTATCGCAAGGTTGACCCAAGACTCTCTTAGACTGCGTCAACACTCGCCCCAAGGCTCTCCAGGACTACACTCTCAACTGCGTCTATCGTGGAGTACTCCCCAAGACCAACTAAAACAACTTTATTCATTTTCAAAACTCTAACCAATTACAAAACAGTAAAAAGACTCTTGGGCGTAACCTTCAATCATAAAGCCAATCACACTAAGTACTGAATAGTCATATCTTTTGATTAATCGTTCACTACATTAATAATTACGGATACCAACTGTCAGAAATCGTAGTCAGAATAGCGACGGTTATCTCGTAATTAGTTCCAAATCACTGAGCCAAGTTCCGTCCAAAACTCAAATAGGCCTAAACGATGACCGACATAACACAGCAATTTGCTAATAATCAGCTAATTAAGTCGGTCAACAGATACGCGAAAACTAATTCATGATACATTTGAACTATTTCTTGGTTAGACTTGTCCATTTATATGATACTATCCTATATGTTATGCATCATTGGTGTAGTAAGACACAGGTACAACACTATAGACATACATATGCCGGTACCTACACAATTATAAATCCGAATGAGCGATGTAATTGTCAAAAAAAAAGATTTTAACCAAACAATACAAACATATTTTATACACGAATTATGAAATTAATACAGTAGACAGTAAGTCAGCACATGAGCTGTGCTTTACTGGGGCAAGCCTCTGATATTGGGAATATCATACCTACACATCGTGGTTAAACAGGCTGATTTGTCACAGGTAAATGCGAATTATAATAATACACGTGATTGGTTTTTTTCATCCACACTTTATTGTAATTTAACTCAAGATTCTATAAAGGATACGATATCAATAACATTTATTGTCAGCTGCCCATATACCACATACTTTCAAAAAGCAACAATGGTACTGTTTTAGAAACCACGCTTGTTGATAGCAATATGAAGATACCCTTAATGTTGTTTCAATACAATCGTCACCCGTGGGAATCATGACAACGCCCATGATGGGTGTCCGTACGAGCGATATGACAATTGTATTATTTAGTATTAAACAGGGACTGTGGTTCAGAATTCGTCATCAATTATATTTCTATATTCGGGATATGTTCAAAGTTATGAACTTGAAATACGAGTTTTGCGAATTGCTGATGTTATCACCCATTGTACGTTTATTTCCGTTATACAGTTGTACGTCGGCTAATTGATTGACATGTGAAGTCGTTAATCAGGTGTGTCCCTGAGTAGTCAGTGTCAACAGATCAAAAGTCATGTGGTGTTACCATAGTTATCTAGTAGTTATCGTACACGTAGGTGTGCGTTAAAGTGCCTGTGAAATGGCTGCTATTTTCACGCCTAAAATTAGCTGCCAAACTAAGACTCCAAAAGTGATCGTAAATTCCCGTTAACAGGGCAAATAACACAGTTAATACGTTATACCGCAAATTTGACGAGGTTTGAGGATTTTCTGCAGCACCATCATAGTCTGTGTGTTGTCATGGCACAGTGTGTTACGTAACTCTTTTGTAATAATAATAATCTCTATTACATAGTTGTATCCTTATTTGAATATTGACTCAGAAAAAAATTTAAATACCAGTGAAGACGAAAAAATTGAGGAAGTAACAAAATGGAAAAGCTAAACATTGAAAAGAATAATTTATTTATTTAGGGGCAGCTGGTAGTTTTTTGAAATGATTTCCCCTGGCACTGAAACAATTATAGATGTTTAATTATAACTTGCATACAAGGACAAGAGACAAATGACCTGACCGAAATGGTTGACCGGCCATTAAATTAGAAGCATCACAGAATTCAAAGATTTTATCCAATTGTTGGCGAGTACACAGTATTCCTTCTTAAATTTCCACACATTGAAAGATTTCACCATAAACGATCGCACGTCAATATAAAATTCAGGGATGTATATCAACTTTAAATGAAATTGATACACTCGTGATTTTCTTTTGATATCTCAAGAAACACCTATTTCAATGAAACTTGCTGTATATAGTAAGTGCTAATACAGAGCTGTTTAGATTGAAATCCAAGCATATTAAATGCAGAATTTGCATAAATTACTCAATCACATTTCATTTGTACACGAATGCATTGGGAAAGGTTCTTAATGAAAAATTTGGGCATAATCAATATCTAATTTGCATAATTATTACCATATATAAGCATTATTGTTTATATCTCAGGAACCACTCCATAGATTTCAAGACAATCCATAAACCGCACGAATTTTGGGTTGAACTATGTGCATATCAATTACTTATTTGCATAATATTCAATAATCCTTAGCTTATCCACGGACATACAAATCATTTATTCCTTTTGAAATAATGTATCTATAGTTTTCTGATGTCGACTATCATCATGCAAACCAACACTTTTTAATAGGCCAATTTAAACTGTTTGCTCATACTTACTCTATTAGAAGCACATCTCCTTTAAAAATGCATGTAATAGTTGCATTTATTGTATACTTTATTCAGGTTTTGTTAAGAGCAGGCCACTGGCCATATGGCCTGCTACAAGCCCAAATTGGCAGTATACTCTCTGCCACCTCAACTGCCTACGCCGGTCTCGCTGCAGCATTTTACACTGCAGAGAAACTATTTCTTCTTTTTTTTTGGTCTATTGTTACAGGATGATGGCCTGCTATTATATGCATTTGTGAAACCCCTGTTTATTAGTCAATTATGACTTCATATGTCCATTGACACACTTCTGTCATTTATGTAAGCACATGCACTACAAATAGAACAAATTTGGTAGTGTATATGTACAGAAGTCATGGGTTATATAGACATGTATGATACACATTTATAACATATTAATATATTTTTGTACTGTGAATACAGGATGCTATAATAAGACCCAGCTTATAACAATTACTGTGATAGCGTGGGTCTTGAGGCAAAACAAAGCACAAATACACTAAGCCAATCAAATATACAACATTCAAATATTTATTGACATTCATTACTAATAAAATTGAAAAATAAAGTGATAGTAGCTTCATCAATACGGCAAATCAAATTATATCCTTCTACATTCTCCAATGACAACCAATATATTCTTGTATGTACAGAAAAACCAGTAGATACTGAAGATGTTTGATTTAAGTTTACATACATGTAGGTGTCTAGAGATAATTTCAAGTAATTAGTCTAGAGAGCGGGGTTGATGGAGTGGTGGAGTGGTGGAGTGGTGTCATGCCAGACTCCAGTTAATTGAAAATATGTGTGTGCATGTTACAAAAACGAATACTTGAGGTACCTTAAATAGCATAGATATGCATCATAATGTTTTATGCGAATAACTATTTAAAATAGCCTATAAAACACTGGTGCTGGTGACCAAAACTTTAAATTACAGAAAGGTAATGCCAAAACAGTTGAAACCAGAATTAGAAATCTTCTTTCTATTATCTTTTAAATCACTTTAAGTTAATAATAAATAATGTAATGTATATTTCAAAGTTGTGCAGACTTTCAACAACTTTTGTCAAAAATAAATAAATGTTGTTGAAGATTGACAAATATTGTCATTATAAAACCGAGATTTATCCATTTATCAAACATTGGTGCTACCACGGTATTATTAATTAAAGATGACTGCCACATATCCAACTTGGTTACCATTATTAATCCAATATGGTTGCCATTATTGATCCAAACATTAAGTTAACATTCATGAATGGTGAATTTATCCGCATAAAATTTATCATACACTAGTAGTAAAACTTCAAACACCACATGAGTCATGTTTAATTAAATCTGTATCTTGAGAATCACAACAATCTAACTTATTCAATTTGTCAGTTTCAATATCAGATGAAGAACCAATCATGTCATCACCTCCGTCACAGTGACTCTGTAAAATTGGACCTATAGGAATAAAGCATAATAGACACGTTAGATACATACAGTGGTGGCATAAAACATGACTATTAAAATGAACCAATTCAAAGTCAACTCATTAATTTTCACTATATAAAAAAAAAAAAAAAAAAAAAATGTGTGCATTATGACATTGTTCAAACGTTGAAGGTCAGTGGTATTCGTTTTATTATGCAAATTAGTGCTGGCAGCTTGCATAATTCATTTGTGACAGAAACCATGTTCTACATATGGGACAAATATTCAAACAATCTTTATATCATAATGGCAATTTAACATGTTATCCAGGCTTCAACCAGGCCTGGTTGAACACAAATACTTGTGCCCCTTATCAAAGATTTCCCATCCATTAGTGAAGAATTGTCAACCAGTGGCATAGTTTCCCTGCTGAGGTGTGTGAAACATCAGGTGTGAAAAACATGTAGCATGTCACCCAAAACCGAGACTGTCACTTGTAGTGATCCTTGGTAGAAGATATACAAAGTCAAACTAACATGCAAGACTTAAGGAATCCAAAAAACAAAAACTGAAATGATATTTATCCCCAAAATTATCAATCAATGTAGTGCAGTTAATTTCTTTGGCCCACACCCAAGGTTTCAGATTTTGAGATATGACATACCTGTTAGTGTAAAGACAGCAGAGGATGTTAGATGTGAATCTACAATGGATGATGTTGACTGTACATACTCAGCTCTGGTGGTTCCAGTAATGGACGATGCACTGACAATAACCAATGTTGGCTCTGACTGACTCACTTCAGATGTCATATCAGATCCACTTATATCCTATTGAAAATCAGAAAATATTAATAGAATATGTAGTTTACAATGAACACTATTTTTAAAAGTCTTTCAACACAGACACCTAGGTTGTCAGGACAACAACGGCCACCAGTCAGCCACATTGGACCAAATCACAAAACAAAAAATTCTATATAAATTTTATATCAACTTGCATGAAAACAGTGAGGTCATAGTATCAGAAATTAAAATAAATGACCCTAGAAAAAAAATACTGACCAATATTTCTTTGCTTGTGGGCAGGATTATTAGTATATAACTATAATTCTATTCCCATAACACTACTCAGTAGTATAAAAATGGATCACATTCTAAATATAGTCTTACTTGTTCAATAAGAGTACCATCTTGAGTCATCAGCTGATCTTGACTATGCATATGTTGTTGAGTTGCTAAATCTGACTGTGTGATCTGTGATGGCAAGTCTTCATCAGACTGTGATACATGTTGTAGATCTAAAAGTGGATATATAATGCAACATTTACTACATATTCAAATACAAATGATGATATAATATGCTGTGAACAACATTGTTTTCACCATTATCTTTGTCATTTTGATATTACAGATACCTTCCGCCACTAGGGAGCAGGACTCACTGACAAAGTCTAATGAAGTTATAGGATTAGTTTTTTGTGCACACTTTTACATAATCGATGAATTCTGTTAAAAAATTGATAAAAGAAAATATCTCGATGAATAACCAGTCAGACTTATCACCCAGGGATATTAAACTAATTACCAACAACATCAAAGAAAAATTTATGGATTGGTGGAAAATAACCATAAACAACCAAAATGGCAAACTCAGGACATGTGCAAAACTAAAACAAACATACACCTATGAAAAATATTTAGACACTCTTAATTTAAAACAAAGACATTGCATATCCAGATTTAGATTAGCAACCATCCATTAGCAATAGAGAAAGGTAGACATACGCAACCAAAAACCCCCTAGAAAATAGATTATGTATACATTGTTTAGAGAACAAAATAGAAAATGAGGTACATTTTTTCATGGAATGTCCAAAATATTACAATAACAGACAACTATTGAGAGATGTAATAATTCCAAACACAGCCCACAACCAGGGTTCTCCCCATGCTGGATGGCGGTGGACGGGGACGTCCGGCACTCAGAATTAGCGACCGGCACACCTGGCTGCCGTCCGGCACTATTGTTTTTGTCCATGACGCAACGAACGCGCTGGAAGACAAAAGAATGTTTGAAAGGGCGGATAATCCAAAGACATTAGACATCTATTGTCTTTGGATAATCAAAGCTTGGGTTGTGTCACCAATTAAAAAAAAACAATAGGCGTGAAACTCAACGTAAGACGTAAGAGGCCCAGTGGCAATCGACACTGGTGAGTGTGAAACCATACTTAGCACGACAGTAGCGCATAGAAAAGTGGATTACCGTACCCATATTTTTACTGCCAGGGTGACGTCAAACATATAAAATCGATATCGGTAAAACTATTCGTTAAAACATATGGTCTATGGTTAAAACCAAGTTCACGCAGTATTTTGACTCCTGTTGAAAGAAATACTGTGGCCATTTTGAATATTAATTAGTTCATGCATATTAATGAGCTCATGAATATTCATACCGTCCAGCACTCTCTGTCTGGTGGGGAGAACCCTGCACAACATTAATCAGAAATTTATATACCTGATGAGTTGCAATGATGTTGAAATTATAAGACAAGTGGGTGAATATTTATATGCCATATTTGACATTAGAACAGAACATCCAATTAAAAGATAATTCTTACTTTTGTCATTTTTTTTCCCCTTCTCTTTTGAGCATTTTACATTTTTTGTTTATGTATTTCATTGTTATTGCTTTTAACTGATGAAAAATTTTTTTCAAGGATGCAATAAAATTTGTTATAATAATCGAATTATGATTTCAAATGCTACCTTAAGCAATGTTTTCAAAATTGAAGGATGACAATAATTGTTTGTTTTCTCAAACACTTTATTTCATGTACACATTGACAATGCATTCAGTTTATAAGAATAAACCATCTAGATCTCCTGTCCTATAACCTTTGATACAACCTACTCAACCTACTACTGTAAAATCTGTATTAGAAGCCGCAACTTCTATTAAAATGGTACAATGCAACAGAGGGGATGCGGCTTCTATTAGAGCATCTGCACATACGAGAAATGGTGAATTTTTGGTTCTCAATGTTCAAAAAGAATGGGTGCTACTTCTATTAAGGATGCGGCTTCTAATACAGATTTTACAGTACACTCACTTTTTGAATCATTCACTAAATTATATAATGAGCTTACCATCAGACTGACTAATGGCAGCGGTCATATCAGCATTACCTAAAGATGACACACAGTCAGGATGTGTAGATGTTATAATAATCTGTGCATTGTTTTGAGGATTCATCTGTACAGTTACATTCTCATTACTATGCAAGGCATCAGACTGTAAAAAAAACAGAGGTACATGTATACACCAAGTTATGGTATTAATTTAAACTTCTAATTCTTCTGTTTCTGTTCATTTACAACTTTAATCATTCAATTGTACATTACCGGTAGATGGTCCAAAACAAAAATATTGTACACACAAACCACTAAGGCTGGTTAGAAAATAATTTTTCTTAACACATTGCCGTCCCCATGGATTTTCCTCCATTCAAAAGTGGACAGTATTCTCATAGAATGTATTAAGAATTACAACTATTATAAGCCAATGTGATATATAGTAAAATGGGTTAATAATTTTTAAGAAAAGACTGACAGTCAAGAATTAATCAATTAACTTACCACTGGTACAGTATGTACAATTATTTGATCAGATGAGGTTGGTGATCCTGATAACGCCACAGCATGATGTGGATTATGTATGAGAAATGTACCAGGTGCTAATGTCATTGTAGACTGCATGACTTCATAGGAATTGTATTGATGTCCTGAACTACTGTTCTCATCTTCAGAGTCAGTAGGAGCTACAGTAGTGGTAGTAATAGTTGCAGAAGTTCCTGTATATCAAACAATATTAATATTGGATTTTATAATACATTGCATCTCAAATCTGTCTTGATTGGTCAGTCTCGAGTCACATGAAGCTAGGAAATTTTATGTTTTTAAACCAAAATAAGAAATAACAGTCAGTTTTCAAACTGTTGTTGAAATGATGTCGCTTTGGAAACAGTTCACAAAACAGTGATCATAAATACTCTACTATGTATGCATAAAATATGTTTCATTAACAAGATGTCCAGATACAGCAGCTATCAATATTGAACAAGTCATCATGCTATTCTCTGAGTTAGAATTGTCAGTCAGGATTCATGACAAACCATAAACATAATGAAGAGAACTACATTCTATACAGTACCTAACTGAATTGCTAGCTAAGCTGCTACAAAACAAACTACAATATTGCATATTGAACACAAGTTACTCAGTAAACTCTTTACAAATCTCAAAACTTTGCAAGTTCCCAAATGAACCTCAAAACTATGCAAGCTACCCAACAAACCTCAAAACTATGAAACCATGCAAGTTATCCCTCTGCGCATCAAAACTGGTCAAGTTATCCCTCTGAACATCAAAACTGGTCAAGTTATCTCTCTGAACCTTAAAACTATATAAGTTATCCCTCTGAACCTCAAAACTGTGCAAGTTCCCTGATTGATTTTAATTTGAGAGGCAGTGTGTTATAAAATATGTATCAACTGGGCATATTTGTCATGAAAATGAAACATACATAAACAAGTCTCAGTTGCCAAGTTACATACATACGAGACAACCAGACCTACCTGTTTGTGGTATTGGAATTGGCACATGTACTATCTGTGGTGATTTCAAGGCACTGTATGTTTGGTCTAACCGAGCTACTCGTAGACGAGTAGATGTAGTACTTGGACGCTCCGGCTTTGGCTTACTTAATGGTCCCGGATGAGTTTTAAGGCGTTCAATGATAGCTGCAAACAGACAAAGTTCATCTTTACAAATCTACAGAAATCGAGTCAAGTTACTTTGTGGGATGGTTTAATAAATGAATTCACTTGCAAGTACAATGTATATCTTAAATGCATAAAATTTAAATGATTAGAAATCACCCACCTGGCAAATTCATAGTTGCATGATTTGGAACATGTCGTTTTAATGCCCACCATTTACTTCTTAACCACTGTGGTGATCGAACACTGCAATATAATCAACAATAGCTATATAAGGTACAACTTTAGATTCATGGATTTGATTCATTTACATAGGAATGATGATAAGTTTCCATCTAAATTGTGATTGATTTTTATGTGAGGCGTGCACAACAGTTGAGTAGAGTAGTGAGTAGTCAGGTCAGTAGCAAGTAGCCCAACTTTGGAGAGAATACTGCCATCTGATCAGTGTTCTCTCCAGGGTCATTAGTACTGCTTAGCTTTAATTTTCAACAATTAAGACGTATTCATATTCTAATAAGCAACTTGTATGCAAATTAATGGGCATACTGGGTAAATATGCAACAGTGACTAAACTGTTCCATACAGGTATTATAGCAATACTGTTGTTGTTTCTGTTTTCATTTTTTTTGAGGTTCCATTAAGCATAGAATTATTCAATACAAACTATACACAGAAAAAAGTTAAGGCTAGATGTCCAAGTTAGTTTTCTCTTACCTTGACCATCCACTACAGAGATCATTCCACAGAATATCATTATCATTTTCAACTCCCATTTCTTCAATTCTGAAAGAAAAAAAATATTCCTAACTATCACAACACTGCAGCATTCAAAGTAGACAGTTTGTTTCGAAAAATTCAAGGTAAAATTTTTATTGTTCCATGGAATACCAAAACAAAATGATATGAGTGTACCTATTAATCAGATTCAAGTCATCTTCTTTAACCCAATCTGTACCACCAATCTGTTTCCAATTCAGATAATTTAACCATTTAGATCGACACTGTTTTTCTGAGCGGGTACCAACTCTCTCAGCCACAGCAGCCCATGATATGCCTGAAGTTACGCTTTCACCTTCAACGGTACGACTAAGACTATGTACAGAATCAGCCAATCGATGCTCCTCTTCTGGTGACCATTTACCTGAGTAATTTGAACAGATCGTACTAAGCATGTCTGTTTATCTTCACTGTTAGCCTAGGAAAACTATCATAATTGTGACCAGAATAGGGTTACGAGTTTACATTCTCTTTATCTTCACTGTTAGCCTAGGTAAACTATCATGGCCAGACGGTGTATACTCCAAAAATCACTGATAACAGTCTAGGGAGTCCACCTATGATAATTATTACTCGGCTAGGGATACCAGTATAGATTCTCAGATACTGTAGAATACTTTATTTTCGCTTGGAAATAAAATCCAGCATATATACTTTTTTTCCTATATTTCACATCAAACTCATCAAAAATCAGTGAAAATAAATTCAATACAATACAAAACTTCCAAAAAGCCTTTTCAGCGAAAATTAATTCCAGCAAAAATAAAGTATTTCACAGTATACGCAGCTAATGTTAAATACCTGAATGATTGCTTTCTTTCAAAACCAGTCTACATCTATCTTTCACAGATGAAGCACTTCGTCCCAATGCTGTTCCAATTGCTGCCCAGTCATTACCATGCTTTAGATGTAAGCTGCACAAATGAACAAATTATAACACTATAACTGATTTGTCAAAATTATGGCAAGGGTAGAGAAGATGTACAGAAAAGCTGTATTTTTCAAGCATTCAGAATAATTTGGAAAATCAAACTTACTCCTTGAGTCTCTCGGTCTCTTCTAAAGTGTACCTATAATAAATCAACAATTCATAATTTAATTAAACTCTGCACATAAATGAGAAAAAAAATTGTCACCAAACTGTAAGGCCGTTGCTGATAGGCTACTGAGCTGGATGATGATTTAGGTTTCAAAAACCCTGGGAAAGTGTTCTTAGTGCTATTAGGTGTTCTTATGTAAGGAATTTTTCCATGGAAAAAGTCTGAATATGGTTGAATTTTGTTAGCGATTGGCTAAATGTTGCCCAAACGGTTCATTTGTTATTTTTTCCCAGATTTGTAAGAATCGTGAAAAATATGCTTCTCAACTTGTCTCTTTATTTAGTTCATGTG